TTTTTCCTCGCTGCCACTAATCCCTGCTGATAAGATCAACCCATCTTACCTCACAAGAGTATCATGATGACATCAACTGTTAAGAATGTGTGGCACCATGATACAAAGGTTTATATATGTAGAGATTATATAGTAGCTAGTGCTGCAGATGAGTAGATGGGTGGGCATCAGCAGTACAGAAAGAAGGAGAGACCCTGCTGTGCCTAAAGTGGGACGTATGTGAGCTTTTGTTGGTGAGAGAATGTTCTTAGGGAACATGAGATGAGGCCTGCCTTTCTGCAAGCACCACTTGACAGCAGAAGAGCTGAAAAGATCAGTCCTGACTCCTGCCTTAGGAGGGAATAAACTTTGGATCCTGGCTATGTCCAATGATGGTCTGATGTAAAATGTAGGCACATTCCAAGAAGTAAGGGATCTTGGAAATCTGAAAACTGAAGCTTACAGTTTCTCATAATATGCAGGTGATATCTTCCCTAAGTGTAGAACCTGAGTGTAATGCCTGACACTGAAAAAAAAATAGATTTGGATACAAAATTTGCCTCTTTTTATGTGCATGACTGTTCTTCACTTTAAGCATCTGCAGCACACAGCTACACCTGCATGTATATCCCTCAAGTAAATTCAAGTGTAATTCAATAACTCAATAAATACATCATTCTGGCAGCCGTTGTATTCTGTTAAATCACTCCCCTCTTTCCAGAACTGATCATATTTTAATAGCTCTCTTCATTTTGGCAAGGGTTTTCACAGCCTGAGTCTCTTTCAATAAGTACAAGGCCAAGTTTATGGCATGACAGTAAACTTAACACCTAATCTCTATGTGCCTGTTCCTAAATGTGTATATGTAGACATATATTAATTTGGAGAAAGATATATTAATCCTTGCCTTAAGTAAGAATATTATCCAGGTGATTTAAGCAATGGTCTGGGTGAGGGGAAGGCTGCAAGGGCAACAAGAGAGGACACGCTCCTGGCAATTCATCAGAAAGTTTGTAAGATTGCATGAGTCTCCTTTCTTGGCTCAATTCAGCACCTCTGGAAGTGCCTCCAGGGCCTCTTTGTTAGTGTGTGTTTTCTCTGGTGTACATACGAGCAATTTTTGACAGTTTTGAAGGAGAAGAAAGGTTAAGTAGATGGCATAGTCTTTATGGTGCTAGGAGGCTCTGGATTGCAGTGGGTTGTAAGTATATTCTTAAAACTCAGTATGTGTTTATGAATGTGAGTATGTTGGAGTATTTTGATGGAAAGCCAGTGGAACTCAATGGAAGTCACAGGAACAAACTCCCCTCTGAACAAATGTGCGTGCATGTGAAAGTAATGACTTTTAAGATATTTGGCATTTGTGACTTTCTAATAGCATGTATGATACAATGCTGAGTAGGGGAAAGTAATTTCCATTTCCACAGCTCCTACCATCTGGCACTGTTGAAGAAGTCTGAGCTTTTCTTAGCGCTGCTGCCCACATGGTGTGGCTGAAAAGTGAACTTCAGAACTTCAGTCGGTCAGGCTTTCCACTAACACCTTCTGTAAGCAGTAATCCAAAGGATCCTCCCTCACCCCTCCTCTAAAATGGCACATTTAAGCTCCTCCTGTTTTCATAGGTGTGTATGTATATATCACAGGTATCATCTGCATATGTGTTTGCAAAGAATACAATCCTCTGCCAGTGAAAGCAGACCTTCCTCTTACCTCATGTGTGATTAGTTACTCACACAGGCTCTGCACAAAGAAGATGAGACTTTTTTTTTTTAGTAAGTGCACTTCTCTATTAATCACTTAAAATAGTACAAAAGAAGCTTAGTCACAGAACTTTAAAAATACTTAGCGTATTTTAGAGTATTACTTAGAGTAAATAAGCGTTTGAAAGCTTCTCTATGGGTAGGATGGCCCTGCAGAGGGACCTGGACAGGCTGGATCAATGGGCCAAGGCCAATTGTATGAGGTTCAACAAGGCCAAGTGCCAGGTCCTGCACCTCGGTCACAACAACCCCGTGCAACGCTACAGGCTTGGGGAAGAGCAGTTGGAAAGCTGCCTGGCCGAAAAGGACCTGGGGGTGTTGGTCGACAGCCGGCTGAACATGAGCCAGCAGTGTGCCCAGGTGGCCAAGAAGGCCAACAGCATCCTGGCTTGTGTCAGGAATAGTGTGGCCAGCAGGAGCAGGGAGGTGACTGTGCCCCTGTACTTGGCACTGGTGAGGCTGCACCTGGAATACTGTGTCCACTTTTGGGCCCCTCAATACAAACAGACATTGAGTTGCTGGAGCGTGTCCAGAGAAGGGCAACAAAGCTGGTGAAGGGTCTGGAGCACAGGCCTTATGAGGAGTGGCTGAGGGAACTGGGATTGTTTAGCCTAGAGAAGAGGAGGCTGAGGGGAGACCTTATTGCTCTCTACAACTACCTGAAAGGAGGTTGTAGTGAGGTGGCTGTTGGTCTCTTCTCCCGAGTAACTAGTGACAGGATGAGAGGAAATGGCCTCAAGTTGCATCAAGGGAGGTTTAGATTGGATATTAGGTGAAATTTCTTTACTGAAAGAGTGGTCAAGCATTGGAACAGGCTGCCCAGAGAGGTGGTGGAGTCACCATCCCTGGAGGTATTCAAAAAATGGGTAGACGTGGCACTTTTGGCACATGGTTTAGTAGGCATGGTGCTGTTGGGGTGGTGGTTGGACTGATGATCTTAGAGGTCCTTTCCAACCTTAATGATTCCATTCTAGTTTCACTTTCATTAAAAAATAATCCAGCCACGAAGGCAGGCAACTTGAAATTAATTATTACTTTAGTCTTCATTGGTTTAGTGGTGGGCTTGGTAGTGTTAGGTTAATGGTTGGACTTGATGATCTTTAAGGTCTTTTCCAACCAAAATGATTCTATGTTTCTATGATTCTATCTCTGTACCTCATCAGACAGGAGCGGTTTTGCCTTGGTCTCTGAGGCTGCTGCTGAAAAATAGTGCTTCTTGAGTAACTACCTCCATTAGGCCAGTATCTTAGAGAATGCACGTAACATTTATTGACCGTGCTGCTGTACCGACTCTTCCAGGTTGGCACAAGACACATCAACCAATTTTTACAAAAGAAGTTGTTTAGGGGTTTCCACCAGGACTGGTTACCAAAACACCATGCTGTGCTTGGCAGCTGTTGCAGGAAGGGTGAGGAAGAGGTCGGGCAGTCGCTGCACCCTTTCTTCCCAAGAGACAGCAGAACTATTCAGGTTTGCAGGAGAACATGTACCCCAACAGAGAGTACGGATTCAGAAAAATAATTTTCTGGGGCTTCTGTTACAGCAGCACCATCTATCACTTACCTGAATACAGAGCTGTGGGCCTTTGATCCCCTAATGTCTATGGCTTTTACAATGTCTCTGACACTATCCATTTTTTGAGGCTGTTGTTGGCAAAGTGCTGCCGTTGAGTTGTTGTCTTCACTGTCTGGTAGAGTTCAGGTACTTCGACCATTAGTTGAAGTTTTGTAGCAAGAAAGCAGATCACCACACCAAAGAAAGATCATGTTCAACATTTTATGACCTTGTGAATCTTGTAGCTCCATTGCCCACAGCTTACAAGGCACAGTGCTGTGGAAAACAACAATTTAAACAAAATTTTTAAATTCAGAGTTAGTATCTAACTGGGGTTAGGAATGTGAGTTTGATGGTGGAGTGCAAAACACATATATTGAGTTATTTAAATAAATGATAGCAACCAGTATAAAGGAAAAAAGTTCCATTTTCTGTTCCCGTGACGACTCAGCAGTTGACGAGTTGTTTTCCCTAGTTCCCAAGGTGAAAGAAGCAGCTGCCTTCGGCCCTCTCCTGGCACAGAGGAAAGTTCCGGTATCGAGACCAGAGCAAGAAGGTAGATTATTTTTACTCTATAGTATTTATTTTCCTGTGTATTGTGTGTTTTCATGACAACCTATATTAGCCAAGCCAGAACGAGTTTAAAAGCCTTTAACATAAAACAAAGCTTTGGTGAGTGCATTAGAGACAGTATGTGGCCGAACCATTCTGCCAGTTCCAATGTGAGAAGCTGGTTTTGTGTCCTTTTCAAAACAAACTTTAACTGTTTATAAGCCATGTATAGAAAGTTCCCCCACATTGAAGCTTGACTTGCAATTTAATTTCACTTGATTTATTTCATAGTCATGAAAAAATAAAGTAATTTCTATTGTCTATAAAATGAAACCATGTTAGAAGAGTGTTGCATAGCATGCAGCAATATGCCAACGTCCTTCAGCCATATTCTCTTGGTTTTTCTCCTGGTTCTCTGTCAGAAGTCAATAGGAGTTTCCACTGAACAAGACTGAATAAATATTTACCCTGAATCTTAAATAGCCTGGCTATGAATTTATGATAGTTCCCAATTCATCAGCAAGTCTTGTGGATATCAGAGTAAGATGATATGACCTGTTCTTTCTTACATTAAAAAATTGTTGTAAAATCAGTCAGGGGAGCATACAAGGTCCAAGAGCTGTCAGTTTATATACACAACTTAATCTTCTGCCGTGCCTTAGGAAACTGCTTCATGTACTTTCAAAACTTTACTGCCTGTTGGGAACTACAACAGACTGCAGAGTAGCTCTAGTCAAAGCAGAGCATAAAGGCAGATCAAAGGGCACTCTCCCCCTCTCTCCTGGTGGGAAACAGTTTCCCTGTGATGGACAGAATCATGAAGGTGACTATAAGGACCTGCTTATGGGAGCCACAGAAAAAAGCAGAATCCAAAAGGGGAGACTGAGAGATTTTATTGAGCTAATGCATTTACAGGGCAGCAGCATCCTCCTGGGGCATTACCAGCCAAGTGGGCAGGGGCTGACATGCTGGGATTGGCTGTAGCTGAGATTATTTTTAGGACAAGGTGGGTTTCACCCAAAACCCATCCACAAATGCTTTCAAATCTTAAAGAAAACAAACCAAAGCAAAACAGACAGTTGTGCTGGTTGACATTATTAAGGGTAAGATACTGGGGTTTTTCCAATTCAGAAAGCAGTAGTTTCAGAAACAATGGATTTATACAGTAAAGCTCTCTAAATGCCATGTACTGCACTTCTCTGTCTCATGATAAAATACGTGAAAAGAACAAGAAGGATGCTTCTTTCTGAGGAAATTCAGATGGCTGACGTATTATTCTTAATCTGATCTGTCATGCTTGCATTGCACAGTGTTTCTTTCTTGCGTGTATGTAATGCTTTTCCTCTGCACAGTCACCAAGGCTGTGGTGTGCTCTGGGTGACACCCTTTTTCAGTGTGCTCTAAAGGTCAACTGATTTGGGCTATTCCCAGCTCCATGTAGTATGAGTATCAAGTGCTGATTCGTGGGAGGCCAGCTTCTCTCTTTCAAGGATAGAACTGGAGCTTGAGTGTCTCAGCTGATTACAACTACAGCAGTGTAACAAATGGAGAGAGGAAAGCTCTAAAGTTGGCAAATCCCAAACCATTTATAATGCTTGAGTTCAAAACTAACATCTCCAGCTATAACTGGTGATCAGCAGGCACTCAATATACAGAAGTCACAGCATATAAACTCATGTGCAGGTGGAGTATTGACAGCAAAAAGGCACAACAGGTTTTCCTGTGAGTTAAAGAAAGAATTACTACATAAATTCTAATGTTTTGGTTTTTTGCAATTTAATCTAGGTCAACACTATCTGAACTCAGACTGTAGATAATTTTAGAATGACCTATACATTCATAACTGGGTGAATAAAGAGCAAATTATTTTTATCAGTACTTCTGATACAGTGTTCCTCTTCTCTCTGAGTCTCCATTGCCAATTTTTTTTTTCAGTTGATTGCAGCTTCAGTCGAGGGGTCTGCGACTGGAAACAAGATGCTGATGATGACTTTGACTGGAATCCTGCTGATCGAGATAGAGGTATTTAAATATCTGTCCTCTAGCTATGCTTTGATTTGATGGCTCACCCACTCCAAGAAAAGGGGGATGGAGGAGAAAACAGAATCAAGAATTAGCTTTCCTATCAGTGGGTTATCTTCCTAAAAGAAAAAAGGAGGCAGAGATGCTGGGAGTGGAAATTGTTTCTTTGAAATACCCAGTGGCAACTGGTAATCAGCAACATATTTCAACACAAATGAATCAAAAGATGAGAAGAATTATTAGAATATAACTGTTCAGAATTGCAAGGTACAAGGCAATGGAAACCTTATTAGTTATGCGTTGTGTCTCTCCAAGACAGGTAGGGCATTTAACCAAACATCTGCCATTTAGATGGATGTGGCAATGTAGTCACTCACATGACAGCACTGTGATAACTGCTCAGAAATCTCAAACTCTGCAAGACAAACTAGTGACAGCATTCCTCAGAATGAGCCAAGGGCAGGGGGCTATTCAAGAACAACCAATACGTGACCTGCTACTAACTGCAGGCCTGCTAAAACCGGAGAAAGAGCTCCACAAACGCAATGTGTGACTGCTGTGTGTATATAAAAAGGTGTGGCTGAAGAAGCTTGTTTGGAAGGATGTCTCTTCCCATGTGACACAGGAAATGTTGCAGAAGTTGCTGCAGTAGGGACTGGTGGATCCTGCAGATCCTGCAGGCCACTTGCTCCAGTTCCTACACACATGATCTCTCCCTCTTCCCTCACAGTCTTTCTATCCCAGTCTTTCTTCACTAATCATAGAATCATAGAATGCTTTGGGTTGGAAGGGACCTTTAGAGGCCATCCAGCCCAGCCCCCCTGCAGGGAGCAGGGACAGCTTTAACCAGATCAGGGTGCTCAGAGCCCCGTCAAACCTGACCTTGAATGTTGCCAGGGATGGGGCCTCCACCACCTCTCTGGGCAACCTGTTCCAGTGCTTGACCACCCTCATTGCAAAAAATTTCTTCCTTATATCCAGTCTAAATCTACCCTCCTTTAGTTTAAATCCATTATTCCTTGTCCTGTCACAACAGGCCTTGCTAAAAAGGTTGCCCCCATCCTTCCTATAGGCCCCCTTTAAGCACTGGAAGGCCACAATAAGGTCTCCTCGCAGCCTTCTCTTCTCCAGGCTGAACAACTCCAACTCTCTCAGCCTGGCCTCGTAGGAGAGGTGCTCCAGCCCTCCGATCATTTTTGTGGCCCTCCTCTGGACCCACTCCAACAGGTCCATGTCCTTCTTGTGCTGAGGGCTCCATCCTTCCTCTCCTGCTCCATATATTTCCTTTTCCACAGGTCTCTCTGATGTCACTTCCAGGAAGACAGTACCCTGACCTTACCCCATCTCCCCAAACTTACATCTGCTGATTCTGACTTTATTTAGGGGCCCAGATTTTTTGTCCCTTATCACTTTGTGTGGCTCTGTCATTTCACTGGTCCTCCAGGATTTGGAAATAAGCTCTCTGTTCCTTTATGAGTTTGTCATCACCGCAGAGGACAGTGGAGAGAGTATTGAACTACCTCAAGTGCTGGAAGTGGTCTGAACACAGAGGCACAGCAGCATGTTTCACGCTGTTTGCATTTGAAAAACTGAGATGGTTTTGCCTTTGAAAGATAGTGCAAGGAAAAACGACTGTAATTGCCAGTGAAATATGAACTCAGCTCCTCTGTAAACTCATCTGACTTCCAACAGTGCAAGCTTATTCCTTGCAAAGTACACTCCCTGCTTTTTTCTCCAGTCTGATTTTAAATTATTCAAGTAACACAGCTTCCATGTATTTTCTTAGCAAATATGTATTCAATTTGCTAATAAATAACACAAGTCCATTAAAGATGCATTTTCCTTTTTTTTTGTTACAAGGCGATGGGTACTACATGGCAGTTCCAGCTTTTGTGGGGCACAAGAAGGATATGGGGCGTCTAAAACTTCTCCTCACCAACCTCAAACCAAAGAGCAGCTACTGCTTGATTTTCAGTTATCGGGTTGCTGGCGAGAGAGTGGGGAAGCTTCGAGTGTTCCTGGCAAATAAAAAACATGCTCCTGTCTGGGAGCAGAACAAAGGGAAAGATGAAAGGTGGAGAACTGGAAAAATAGAGATATTTCAGGGGGCTGAAACAACCAACAGTGTAAGTATAACACAATTTATAAGCCAAATACCATAATCAACAGCTTAATTTCCTAATCCTCAGGTGTTCCACCAACTGTTTTATAGGCATTGCTTACTGGCAATTGAAAGGCTTATCTGAAATGGGAAACAGGAGCATAGATTTTAAGGAGGCAGAAAAGTTATTACCTGGTTGTAATTTCAGAACTGAATTACCCCAGTTGGTTAGAGCATTGATGCCAGTAATCCTGTAACTTTGTAAAAACTGCATCAGATCATAAATTAACACAAACAATGAAAGTCTCTGTTTAATATCTCATGCAACAGAAGCATACATATATTCCTGGAAAAATGAAAATTATCCCTGTTTCATAGAATAGGATGCTCTCAAACCACACTAAACCAGACAATTAGTGCAAAAGGAGGCATCATGTATAATCAAGCATGGACAGTCATAGGAGCACGACATATTAGCCAACAGGGAACACTGTGCACAGAAAACTGCCTCAATCAAGGCTTCAGCAAGTTTCTCCTTGGAATGCTAGGGTCTGGTTTTCATTTATGTCACTGAACATTTTCAGTGCTGTGTAAAGGCTTCGACTGTATAATTGAATACTGTGAGTATAAATGAAATGCAAGCTCTTTTCAAGGTTCTTTGCACTGCTGGAATGGTGTAGAAAAGCCCTTACATAGATGAGAATCAGACTATAAAATAAAAACCCAGGCTTCTAGTCATAAAAATGAACCTACTCTCTCTATATAGTATACATACTATACTATATATATACACACTATGTAGAAAGAGAGAGTAAATAAATATATAGTATATACACCCAAAAACTAAGGACCCAAAGAGATTGAAAATGAACAGTTGTAATGTCTTCAAGAAAAGGAGTGCACTAGTATCACATACTGTGATAAAACTACATTATTATAATAGGATTTCACTCAATTTGCATTTTCTTTGTACAATGAAAACAAGTAATCTTATTAAAGGAATCTATTTGGTACTGTAAATGTGTGCAGAGGATTATCAGTCTAATTCAAACAATACACGGAAACTCTAAAAACTGCAAGGATTTGAGTCATTAAGTACTGTATTGGGATAAAACATTCCTCAAATATAGCATTATAACTAATTAACATTAAGAGTTGCTAAATGGTTGGATAAACTACATTTTCACTGTTAATACATCTCTTCTGTTATGACAGGTCACTTTTGAATCAGAACGTGGGAAGGGCAAAACTGGAGAAATTGGAGTGGACAATGTTATACTGATTTCTGGTCTATGCCCAGAAGATACCTGACAACAGATATATGAGTATACTGGATTTAATCCTGGTTTTAATATTTGCCTTACTAATAGTGTATTTTTGTATCATTTTCTTTATAAAAACCCAAAAACTGTAAAAACTGTGCCTTGGACTTAATGCAGCAATGAAAACAAAAAACCTGACGTGCAAGATGCAGAGTACACTTTTTTATGAGTTATTCTAATACATGCTTTGAGTGTAGCACTATTGTATTTTATAATTCAAGGTCAGGGTTTCTAAAGTATTATTTGTCTAGCTTTTTTACAAATTCTACATGCTTTTATTCCTTAAAGTTCTTTTCAAGGCTATTCTTAAGTCTTCCATTTCATTTATTCTACTCCACAAGAACATAAAGCGGTATTTAAGAGGATGTTACTCCTTCTGGTGACGTAATTTTAATTTCCTACTTAGTGTGTAGATATTCCACCTATTCAACAAGTAAAAGGAAAGAGAGGAACTTTATTTCCTTCTTGATGGAGTTGTAAGTGAAGTCATGTCTTGAGGAATATTTTCATTACTAATAAAGTATGTAAAATATCTTGTCATCAGTGTCTGAGTCACACAAATCACTGTTTAGAAATTAACCCTTTCTAGTTTTATAAGCATTTAATGTTCATCATTAGCAGATGACGTTATCAACTGATACTGAAAAAAAGAACAAAAAGAATGACCCATTGTTAACATTTAAGAAACTTCACATCATGTAGTCACCTTCAGGAACAAATTGGTGCCTGCTGGATTGCAGGCCCACTTTACCCCATAGAGGCGTGAAAAGAACAGTTTTCATTTTCCAGTAGACAGTGGTCACACAATAAGGCTCCTGAAAAAAAAAAAAAAATCTTTGTTGCGAGTCCCTTCATGTCCCTATGTCCCTTCATGTCCCTATGTCCCTTCAAACTTCAGCAAAAGGGATGGAGACAATCCGCCGTTTGAGGAGGGTCTAGAATCCAGGCTCCACCTTTTCTGAAAAGAAGTCAAATGACAATGCTGTGGAGGACAAGACCATCTTCTTCCATCTTGTGATCTCTTCTGAAAGTACCTAACGGTCTGAATCCCAAGAGGACAAAGACGCCCATGGAAAAGCTCTGGTTCATGCAATGTTCAGTTAAATGTGTGTGCGTACATTTTCCTCTTCGTTAGCTCTCTGTAATCCTTTCTAGACTGACTGTTCACTGTTTATTATTAGTGATGCCCTTCATTTTATTTCTTGCATGAAGAAGGGGACATCCAAAACAATGTAATAGAGTTTTATAGAGAAATACTAAAGAACCTTGAAGAATTCAGCCTATCTGAACCTAAGGTTTTTAACAAAATACAACTCCAAAAGTTCAAACACTTTGAATTGCACCTATGAAGCAAGTCAGGGAGGCTTGACACATTTCTTGTCGAAACACAGTATTTTTGCACTTTGCACACAACTGGGTAAGCAAGACTAGAAATGTCTGGAAAGTTTGTAATAGCAATGTAATCAGGAAATGCTTGTTCTTTGTTAGAACTGGTTCGTGTTATGAAACAGGTGCTCTGAGAACTGTACATGGACTTCAGCTTTGACATATGAATTTCTTTCCTGGTGTCTTTAGAGGTGCTGAGGCAATTACAGAATAAGGACTTGGGAAAACCAAATTCTCTTTAATCTCAGGCAAAGACTCTGCGAGTTTCAAAGTGAGGGGAAAGTTCCCTCAGTAGTGGATCAGATGCTAACTGTGATCTCAGGATGACTGAAGAACCTGGTCAGAATGAGGCAGAAAAGTGAAACAAGTATTTTTCTGGACTCACGCCTCCTCGTCTGACTCTCTGAAGTTGAACTACCGTTACTGAAGACTGAGAAAATGAAAGATCATTTTTACTGAAATCAAACTCTGTGTCTTGCTTCAAACAGCAATAATTTACACATACACAGTGCCCCTAAAGCCTAAGAAGCCTACGAATTATTACAGTCTCACACATTGCCGTGCAAATGATGTATTTGAGATATATATATCTATGTGGAGCAAACTGAGTCTACCTAAAAAAGTGCAGCTAGGCATTTCTTGCATGTACAGTTATTTGGCATGGAAAGATAAATACTGCCTGTGGAAGGCATAATGTCTAAAGACTATTTGTTCAATACACAAACAATAGAGAGTAAACACAATGAACATGGTCTGATATGGAGCCAGAAATGCTGATATTTATTTGTTGTTGGTTGAATTGTAGCCTACCATGAATCATGACTGTGACAATTACTGTAGTAGTAGCATTCCACCCAAAAGACAAGATAAAAAGAAAAGATTTTGCATTTCACAGAACGAGTAAGAAAATGATTTGCACAGATCAGTACAGACTGCAATAGCTGCCATAAGGCTTTCTGTAGTAGATACAGAAGTTGTTTCTCATGTTCGCAATGGATTGTGAGATACAAGATAGCTTGCATTACAGCAGATCATAAAAATAATTCTAGCCTAATAAGATCTGAAGAGCAAAACTGAAACCTTTTTTGTTGTGATTAAATTCAAAGATAGCTTCTGCAGAAGCAACAAAATAAATCCATTATGTAGAGACATTCATAAAAACCACATCAGTGCATCAGCAAATTAACTGGTATTGTTTGCAACATTCATTCGAAAGATGCAACTGCTCAGGGCAAAAGCTATATGTTTCTCCTTCAGATGAAAACAGTTAAAGGGCATATTATGCCCACAGTCATTAACGCCTCAAAATGTTCCTGACAGTGTTCCGTTACTGTGGAACGTGAAATCCATTATCTGCTTGATTATTTTAGACAGCAAGGAAACTGCACTGGGAGTATTTGAAAATGTTACAAGTACGCTATAATCATGTGGCTTGAACTTTGATAACATCATTTGCAACTGTTAAGTCTGATAATAAACTTTGGAGACAGTACTCAGCCTACAAGTTAATGGAAGAAAAGAATTTCTAGCTAATTACCCAAATCTACACTACATCCTTCAAAAACTACTCAACAGATGTGATCACGTAATCTTGAAGATTGTATAACAAAAGGTTTCAATCCCTTTTCTTCAAGTGCCAAAAGAATTAAAGAAGACATTTCATTTTGTCAACCTTGAACACGTGGAAATGCTGAGGCATGTTCCCACAAGATGATTATCTTGTAACCTGCAACTGAAAGAAACTTAAAACATTTTCCAGCTATTAGATGTTATTTTTATACATTAAATAAGGATTCCCCACTGCAATTTTTAAGGATCATAAAAATGAAGATAATGGAGAGATGCTTTCAATGAGTGATTGCCACTCATATTTACTTCATAATTGCTCTAATTTTTAGGACGGAGTCATACACCTGCATGTACCGGAGGTATTGAAATTCATGACAATATATTAATGAAAAGGTAAATTACAACAAAGTGTAGATAATAATTTATTTGGTAATATATGTACTGTTACATAATAGTTCATCACAGCAAAAGATTTTTGATGGAAAAGAATTTCTAATTTTGAGAGTTATTAACCTCTCAAATAGCTGACTTGAAAGTTTAATTTCAACAAAATTAGACATTCAGTCTCTCTGATCCTCCGCCTTCCAAATTCCAGGTCTTCAAGAAGTGCACATTATAGAACTGTTAAGAGAACACTAATTGTTATTTTTTATTTGGGGAATATTTAGTCTTCAGTGACACTCCGTAAAGCATGAAAGCATGAAAGCATGACTGAATGTTTTAAAAGATTCTTTCCTGTTCTTTCTTTTTTTTTTTTTTTTTTTTTTTTTTTAGGAAATGGCCTAATATTCTGTCTGAAAATCTCTCAATTTCTTAAAATTTCTGTAAGGCATCATACCAATTTCTATTTCAAATATACCCCTGAGAAGAATATTCTCCTTAGACAGACTTGAGAAATCCTTTTAGGTCCTCAGATTAAAGCTAACTTTAATCCCAAATTTAAAGTGCTTTGGTAATTAATTTTAAAATGAAAGGAAAATATTTCAAAGCTAAATATTTATCTACAATAATACCATTTATGATAAAGAATTAGTGTATTAAATGCCAATAGAAATAAGGTCTGAGTTAAAGGAAATGGCATTTCCCTAGACTTGCCTTAAAACAGCATTTCATTCTTTTTTCTTCATATACTTCTTTTTACTTCCATTCAAAGATGGTGCTTCTCCAACAAGTTGGATGGTGTGCAGGAGCATTGAATAGCTCCACAGACATGCTTTGCCAGGGCCCAACTCCAAGCACTCCCTCAAACGATTTCCAGGCAAAGCCTGGGAGTCAAGATGCTCCTGGAACCACTCCCAGGAGGCAGTTTGCATGCAGCAGCCCCATTTTTTGTAACATAGAGGAGGAGATGGCATGTTTAATTTCCTTCTGTTCGTTCTGTACCCAGACAATAGCAAAGTTAGCAGCTCATTCAGGCACTTTAAAACTTCTTCCAGAGCTGACTGCCCTGCTCCATTGCTTTCTGCTGGCTGTACAGTGAACACCAGTGTACTGCGAACATCAGTGCTTAACTTTGATGCCCAAAAATCTGTTTGCTGAACTGGACACTTCTGGGGTACAGTCAGTAAATCTGACTTAGGCGAGCAAAGCAGGCAATCAGAATCTGGCCCTTGATTTCAGGCCGATACCTGTTTAAAACATTACATCTCTGTGTTTTGATTTACTTCAGTTTATTATAGTTATTATAATCTCTGTGTTTTGACTCACTGCAGTATTATTTTCTTGCTATAGTTGATAGCTTAATACATGATATTTTTGTGTACTGCATCAGAAGTTGTCTTCTCACCTGAAAACATGACTCAAGTTACAATTATATAACACCATTAAAAAACAGGTCACAAACATAAAGTGGTAGAAAAGAATGATTAAAAACTTTGAGAAATGCCATAAAGTAATTAGAAACTTTATGTTTCAAAAACACTCTGAAAAGCTATTCTTCCCTCAAGCACTAATTTTATTCTAAACTAAGTAACGTTCACAGCAGATTTTAGTGCTAGAGCACAGAGATCCTGTACTCAAGAAAGCCACGTGTTCACTTACAGTGAATTACTCGTTAACACCACCTTCCTGCCCAGGATGTAAACATATGGCAGTCCTAATTCTCTTTGTCTTTGAAACTGCCAGAATGATAAAACAGTCACTTTTTCTAGAGGCAAGGGGGCACTTGTACAATGGCCCAACTATTTGCACTATTGAAAATGGTCGGTGAAAGTGTGAACAGCAAGGCAACAAAGTTTGCCTTCATTGTTCAAGACAGTCAAACCAAAAGCTGACTGCAAAGAACCTTGTGATACTGAGTGACTGTGCAAGAAAATCGGATGGGAAAATTAACTGTGGGTCACTGCAAAGTTGAGGACTAGGAATAAA